AGTGAGGCGCATCCGAAGGGCGTTGTTCAGGGCGGGAATTGGAGAGGGTCAAGAGGAGGAGCGCGAGCGTGTTGCCCCAGCCAACTCTCCGCCCTCCCGGGTACCAACTCTCCCCATCCCCAGGGGCAGCTGCTGGCTGAGCGAGCGGGCGCTGTGCGCGCCAAGGTCTCGCGGCTGGTGGCAGCCGTGGTCCTGCTCTTCGCGGCCTGCTGGGGCCCCATTCAGCTGTTCCTGGTGCTGCAGGCGCTGGGCCCAGCGGGCGCCTGGCATCCGCGCAGCTACGCGGCTTACGTGCTCAAGATCTGGGCGCACTGCATGTCCTACAGCAATTCGGCGCTGAACCCTTTGCTCTACGCGTTCTTGGGCTCCCATTTCCGGCAGGCCTTCCTCAGCGTCTGCCCCTGCGCTCCCCAACGGCGCCCCTGTCGACCCCGCGGGTCTGGACCGTCAGATCCCGCCGTCCCCCAAGCCGAGCGGCACCGCCTGGCTGCCCACCAGGCCCCCTCCATGACCCCAAAGCCAGGCAGCGGCGAGCCAGGGCTGCGCAGGCTGTGTGTCCTGGGGGAAGGCACTGCCCCTCTCTGAGCCCTCTCTGGGGGAATCAAGGTAGGCCCCTCCAGAACGGGCGCTGCTATTACTATTTTATTAATGTCCTTATTTTTGTCCAGGATAATCCTAATGAACATGTTGTCTCCTCCTGGAACGTTGGTTACAAATTTGCTTTGATGTTTGCTTCTATTAATATTGCAGTTACTATTTCTGTGTTTCCTGAAATCAAAGATGTATCGATGTTGGCACTTTCTGGAACTTTCAAGGAAGCAAAGTAGAAGTTTTCACGCACAGTGTTGCAGCTGACTGTACAATTGTAATGTAAGATCCAGCCTATTTTCAGAGACATTAAAAAGTAAACACAATGTGATTCTTAAAACTGATGAAACAGGGCACCCTTCTGACTCCCTGGTAAGTGTCCAGAGCCCAGGGTTGCTCGGGCTTCCTCCCAACATGGCTGTCGGGGAAAGTCGGACCTACTCCTGGGGGCACAAGCTTCCTGCTTCCACAGTGAGCTGCTGGGAGTTGTCAGAGCCCCACCCAGATTCAAGGCTGGGGGAACAGACCTGCCGCTGAGCTGCATGTGCCAGCCAGGGGGTGGGGGGGAGGCCTCACCAGCCTCGGCTTGGTCACCCTGCAGGGCAGCTGCCCCTCTCTTGCGGGGGCCCTGTCCTCCCAAGTTATCTGGGGACATTACAGGCTTCCAAAGAGCCCACATTTGCAGGGATTATTTATGTGAGAAGGACAGGCCATTCTGAGACTGGTCTGAAGCTTGCTTGCTCTGGTCTTCAAGACATGGCCTGGATGGGACTGAACAGGAGTGTAAAGTGCCCTTTGCCCACAGGCCCCGCCCCCTCCCTCCCTCTCCTCTTCCCATCCCCCACACTCAGTCTCCCTGTGGCTTCCTGAACTGCTACCACCCTTTCTACTTCTTGGCCTTTGCACGTGCAGGTCCCTCTGTTGTACCCAGCACACCCTCGCTCTTCCATCAGCTCAGCTGCCTCCTTCTCCGGGAAGCCCTCCTGGACCCCTCCAGGCTGTGTCAGGTGCCTCATCAGGGCCCAGTGCTGTTCTATCTCAGCTCTGATACCCTTGGCTGTATCTGCTGGGTGTGTATCTGAAGCGGTCTCCAGGGTTCAGCACAGAGTGGGACCGATCAAAAGAGACCATGTGTGCAGAGTGAGGAGTAGGATTTCTCTGTGATAAACAGAATTAAAAAAAAAGTTAAAGAGGGACTCTCGGGCTCATGTCTCAGAGACAGGAAGACTTCAGTTCACACAGAAATTTGTACACATGGGATCACAACAGCTTTGTTTGTGATAACCCCAACTGGAAACGACCAGGACAGGTGAATAGTTAGTAAACCGTGGTCCATCCACACCCACTAGGCAGCACTCAGCTGTGAGCACACTGCCAGCACATGCAGGCCCCAGGGTGGGGCTCCACGGATCGTGCTGAGCCTAGGAGGAAATTCCTAAAGGCGTGATGTGTGGTTCCAGTCACGTAACATCCTCAAGGGGGCAAAAATATGGGAATGGAGGGCAGAGGTGATGGCCTGGGTAGGGACTGACTGGGAGGGGACAGCAGGACAGACCCTCGTGATGGAGCCGCTCTGCTCCTGGACTGCAGTGGGAACGTGAGCCCATGCAGGTGGTGGAGTTGCGGAGGACTGAACTCACACACGCGAGTGCAAGCAAACTGGGGGAATCTGGATACGTGGTTGGGTGGCATCCATTCAGAAACCCAGGTTTCAGTGTTGTACTGCAGCTTTGCAAAATGTCACTGTTGGGAGAAGCCTGGTGAAGGGTAGGAGGGAGATATCACCGCATGAGAATGTACAATCATCTTGCAAGGAAAGGGTTTTTAAAAAGGAAATGAATGGGTTGAAGGGGACATCCAGGAAGAGGAATCGTTTCCAAACTGCAGAGCTAGTGCATCCCCTTCGTTTGTCCTCAAGTCCATTCCTGTGCACTATTTTTAGAGCCCCTTCTGTCTGGAAGGCAGCCGCCCAGCCCCCTGCCGGTACAGAGCCCCTGTCTGTGAAGGCGCCAATAAGTGGCAAACCCCCTAGAGGGATGCAAAGGCAAAGTGACAGCAGTAAAAAGGGTTACAAAGGAAATATGTATTACCTTTGTAACTGGGAGGCTGACCTTGGTGGGGGTAATTCCAGGAAGGCTTCCTGGAGGAGGTGAGTCCAGGAAATGTGAATTGAACTCAGAGGCGGGAAGAGCACACCAGATAGAGGGTACAGCCAGCGCAAAGGCCCTGAGGTAGGATTTGTCAGCTGGATTTAAGGAATAGCTAGGAGGCAGGTGGGGCTGGAGCAGGGTGAGGAGGGAAGATGAGAGGTGAGAACAGAGGTGGTGGGGCCATGCAATCATCGGGGTGAGTTGGGTCTTTCCTGAGACGGGGTAGGAGCCATGGGAGGCCTCTAAGCAAGGAGTGACAGGGTCCAAGGTATGTGAAGATTTGTTTCCATTTATTATCTCACTCCTATGACTATTCTAACATTTTGGGGGCGCCAGGACCAAGCATACGCCGGTATAGCCGACCTGGGAGGGGGTGCTGTGAGGGTGGGACCGGAAGCCACAGCGTGGGGATCAGCCCCTTCTCCCGGGGGGGGCGTGTGTCTGGGTGGGTCGGAGAGGGGTTAATTTCAACCTCAGAAAAACAATGAAACAAATTTTAATATAATTCTGTCCTGTGCAGAATTTAGGCTATACTTAAAGTGATTCGTTGTTGATGTGAAATTCTAACGTAAGTTTAAGTTCTCTATTTCGTCTAGAAACTCTCCCGGGGAGCATTCAAAAGAGCTGCAGAAAAGGCTCGGCGGGCCTCTGCTTTCTGACCCGGGACAGTCGGTTTCAGGGACACGGCGCCCCCTCACGGGCCTCGGCGGAAGCCACCGCGTGACGGCGCCGCCCCGCCCACGGCTGCAACCTGCGGGTGCCCGGCAGGTGTCGCGCGCACCCCGCGGAGGGCGCTCGCTCCCCTGGGTCGACCCCACAAAGGAACCCTAGCGCCTAAGGGGAGCCGCTCATGGGTACCCCAACCTGGACCCCCGGGCTCAAAGGTTTCTCGCTGTGAAGTGGGCCAAGCAGAGCCGCATTATGAATGTCTCCTGGGCCTCTTCTATGAAAAAATATTTAGAACTGTATTTTTGCAGCTGCGTTGGTATAAAGACGAATTAATTTAGGATAAAATGATTAATATATATTTCCTATAGTCAGACTCGCTTTTTTCTTTTTTTAAATAATATTTTATTTATTTATTTGTGTTTGTTTTTGTTTTTTTAGTTTGTTTTTGATTTGGGGGCACTTAGGTTAATTTACTTACTTATTTATTTTCATAGAGGTACTCGGGATTGAACCCAGGACCTCATGCTTGCTGAGAAGATGCTGCTCTACCACTGAGCTATCGCCCCCCTACTCTTCTCATTTTAAAAGAAGTTAAAATTACAGTTTCATAGACCCTGGCTCACCCAGGGGCCAGGTGTGGGTGACAGGAGAAGGAGGGTCGATGGTTTCAGGCTGGGCCCAGCAACCCCTCCAGGCTTTTTTTGCCCTTTGAGATTGAGATGCTGACTAGTTCAAGTTGCCCTCCACCTCTGTGTAGACAGACACCAGAAATTCTGTGGGATGAGGAGAGAAGAGACACATGAATTCATTCCCTGACCCAGTGTGACTGGCACACCTACTGTGTGTCAGACCCTGACTCAGGACTGGAGGCGCAGGCAGCCCAGATCAAGGCTGAGTAGGTAAATAAACACAGCTGTGGTGTCATGGGAGCGCCCTGATGAACATACAACAGGGTGATGTGATGGGGCCTCCCCTAACACTGAGCTGAGGCTCCTGTTTGAATGGGAAAACCTGAGGAAGGGCACTCCAGGCAGCGGGAATGGCCAGTGCAAAGGCCCCGAGATGGGAATATGTTTGAGGAGGAATCTATGTGGGAAGGTGGGCAGTTTGGGATCTGGGTGAACTTTTAAGTAGATGCCCCTCAGCTCTGAGTGGCGGGAAAGGATGAATGACTGATTGTGGGGCTCAGTGAGGATAGGGTTGGTTTTTACAGGGGCCCCGCAAGCCACACTGGACAGGAAACATAAGGCTGGGGTTACTGTACCCATTTCCCAGCTTGAGAAACAGAGACCAGAGAGGGGTCTACTACCCTAACCTAACATCACCCAGCCAGGGCCAGGTGGAACCTGGGCCTGCTGCCCATGCCTGGTTGAGCCAGCAGGTCTAGTATCAATTCCCAGCTCCCTCTCTGAGCTAAAAATAGGATCCCCCCCTCACCGGAGTCAGCTGGGAATCCAGCAGCCCCTCACCCTCCTGGGCCAGGCACCTCTGGGGAAGTTGCACCCAACTGCTCAGAGACAACCACTGCCCTCTGGGAAATGGGGGCAGGGGCAGCACCCCTCCTGCCCTTCAGGAGATCCTCCCTCCCTGTCCCCTGCCCTGAGAACAGAGAGGAATGTAATCCTCAAAACTACTGTAGAAGAAGTAAATTAATATTGACCCACTTTACAGAGGGGAAAACTGAGGCACAGGGAGGCCCATGAACCTGCCCAGGATGGGGAAGGGCTTGTATTCTGATCTGTCTCTTTGGTGGGGAGGGGGCTTTCTTGCACTTTGTAACTGACCTGGGGCCTGGCCCTTCAGGGGTGGCTTCCCTCCTCCAGCTCCCCACCTTGGGGCAGATGTCTGGGCCCCTCTGGTGGTGTTGGACGTTTAATAGCCTCATGGTGGAGGTTGCCCTGCCATCTGCTGCCATTAGGCTCCACACAGCCCAGGGGCTGGGATGCTGGGTTCCTGAAAGGAGCAGGCAGATCTCTGGCCCTGGGTCAGGGGACAGCACCCCCACCCTCCGCCCTGTCCCTTGGGCTTGGGAATCCCCCAGAGAGCTAGCCTGCTATTGAGGGGGATGATGTGGGGTGGGGAGGGAGGACCCCCAGAAAATAGCAGCACTGTGCTCTGGGGGGGGGAGCTGTACACAACCCCCCCCAACGCAAGATCAGGGACTCCAGTCCTTCCAGAAATTGGGGCCCTCTGGGTGGCCCCTGCCTGCCCTCCAAGCTCCCACTTAACTCTTATCTGGGCTGGAGCCTGGGCCCTTGCGATTAGCTCCCAGCAGTGGCCTCAGGGGCTGAGACCTCCTACTTGAGTTCACATGCCCACCCCCACATTCCCCTTAACCTTAACCTAGGCCTGGCCTCAGTTTCCCACTCTCAAAAATGGAGAGTCTCTGCTACACCAAGAGGTGAGCCTCATGCGTTGGGCATATGGTGGGGCAACCAAGGGCTCAGAATATGGAAATTACTGTTGAACTATTATTACCAAGATGATAACCTCGTTTCTCCTCTTAGACAGTGTGGGTTATCAGGTTCCCAAGAGGTGGTAACTGTCGGGGGTAGGGGTCATCAAGATTTCGCGACGTGCCCTCTGGGGGGATCCAGGACGCACTCGCCCACCCCTACGACTTTGCCAAGTCCGTGCCCCTCTCCTGGCAGCCGCGCTCCGCCACCCCCCCATCGTGCAGCGCCCCCATCGCGGGGCC